CTGTAGGGAAAGAGAAGAAAGGATTGGTGATTTTGTATAAATGTTGCCTTGATATGTGTCAGTCAGGCAAACCCGAGTGAGCCAGACTGACACAGGAAAAAGAACAACTGGAGCAGATAGATCAGGAGATAAATGGTTGAAAGAGGTCAGATCAGAATTTAGAGGTTAGGAGCTGAACTTAATGCAATAGCACAGCACATCTAGTCTTTGCACGCAAACATTACTGTTGCTGAGTAACAGCAGCTCCAATAAAAGCTGAAACAGGAGATGTATGATGCCAGATAATGTGTTAAGAGAACCAGGTGAAGGACGTCACGAGGAAATTCAGATGTTCAGTCTTAAAGGGAAACAGGCCTAGCAGAAGGTACTGGTGACTGCTCAGATAAGACGAGACAAGGTCCCCTTTCAACTAGTGCTTCTGATCACAAAGAAAAAACATTCTGTATCTCTCACTCCAACCAAACTACAAGCCATGTTGGAACATCAGAAAAAATCTGGATTTGAAGAAAATGATTAGGAAAAGGTAAAAATATATGTTGGAATATAAACAGTAAAAGGGGAAAATAAATACAAACTTGTGCATGAGCATACAAAGCTTGGTTTGTACATTTTCATTGTGCACAATTCTTTTCTGTTTAAATATGACTTCCGATAGAGTCTGCAAGTCATTCAACTAAATGTTAACCCTCTGTGATCTGCTCTTGTGTATTGTTTTTTCTTGGTTGTTGGATGTTGTTTAATATATATTTGCATGATGGTGAAGATTTTAAACCAGTTGAAAGTTTGTAGTTCTTTCTCTCTGGAGTTTCCGACATAGGGATACATTTAGATGTGGAAGCGATTATTGAGTGTGCTTGTGTCACTTTAATAATGTAGTTTTGGATCTATATAAAGTAATTAGTGTTGAGATTTTATTTTATTCTTTCAATTTTCCAGGATAAAAGAAACAAGTTAGCCAGTGAGCCTGATGCCTGTGGTGGGGAAGCTCTTGGAGGACAAAATATCTGCACATTTGGAAGAAAATGCATGAGTTAGTGACAGGTAGCATGGTTTTGTATAGTCAAGGTCATGTTCACCAACCTGATTGAATTTTTTGAAGGGTGACAAAGATAATTGATGAAGGAAGAGCTGTGGATGTGGTTTATATGGACTTTAGTTACGCATTTGACAAAGTTCCACATGGCAGATTGGTACAAAAACTAAAATCACATGGGATTCGGGGTGGGCTGGCCAGATAGATACAAAACTGGCTTGGTCTTAGAAGACAGAGGGTAGAGGTGGAAGGGAGTTTTTCAGAATGGAGACCGGTAACTAGTGGTGTTTCACGGGGATCAGTCTTAGGTCCTCTGTTGTCTGTAGTATATATAAACGATCTGGAGGAAAATGTGGGTGGTCTGATTAGTAAGTTTGCAGATGACATGAAGATTGGTGGAGTTGCTGATACAGCCGATGATTGTGAAAGGAATACAACAGGATACAGCATTCTATGATATAGATAGATTGGCGACTTGGGCACAGAAATTGCAAATGGAGTTTAATGCAGACAAACACGAGGAGGATCAATTTTGGAGGATCAAATTTAGGCGTGAATTGTACTGTAAATGGCAGAACCCTTAGGAACATTAACATACAGATGGGTCTGGGCATGCAGGTCCACAGTTCCCTAAGAGTAGCAACGCAGGTGGCCAAGGTGAATAAGAAGACACGTGGCATGTTTGCCTTCATCGGCTGGGGCATGGACTACAAGAGTTGGCAAACCATGGTGCAGCTGTATAAAACGCTTGTTCGGCAGCATTTGGAGTAGTGTGTGCAGTTTTGGTCTCCCTGCTACCAGAAGGATGTGGAAGCTTTGGAGAGAGTGCAGAGAAGGTTCACCAGGATGTTGCCTGGTCTCGAGGGAACTGGCTATGAAGAAAGGTGAAAAAGCCTAGAATTGCTTTCACTGGAAAGGTGGTGGCTGAGAGGGAACCTGATAGAGGTCTACAAAGTTATGGGTGGAATGTCAGAGGCTTTTTCCCAGGGTTGAAATTTCAATTACAAGGGGCCACAGGTTCAAGGTGAGAGGGGGAAGTTTAAGGGAGATGTGCAAGGGAAGTTTTTGATGCAGAGAGTGGTAGGAACCTGGAAAGCACTGCCAGAGGAGGTGGTGGAAGCAGGCAGGTTGGCGACATTTAAGAGACATCTGGATGGTTATATGAATAGGGAGGGAATAGAGGGATACAGACTGAATGACGGCAGAAGGTTTGTTTTTTACTTTAGTTAAGGCATGTTGATTGGCACAGGCTTGGAGGGCCAAAGGGCCTATTCCTGTGCCAATCTCTTTTGTTTCTTTTGTTTGTTCTTTTCGTGAAATGCAAATTAATTAAATAATTGTTAGGGATTTGTATTCTGTCCCTTTAAGGAGCCACCTGTGAAAGGTGATGCCATTTTTTTGTTTGGAATCAGAATGTTAAAGGTATTATTGTGAGAATTCACCACTTGTTCAGCTTTAATTACCATTATTTGAAAGCCAAATGAAGAAAGAAAAATTCGGACAAATATTGTAATATAATTGTTCTACAAAACAGCTGTACAATCTTGTTTTGGGTTCAGTTTGAAAATATTTTAGAAAGAAATTTAATTATTAAAGAATGAATTAATATCTCTATGTACATCCCTATGACTCTACATCTGGTGAAAATAGGCTCAAACACTTAAGCCGTTGCCTTTTGCATTTGTGTTTCACCAGAGGTGTGAGACTGTCTGGATGGCATTTTTGTAGTGATATTTCTAACATCAGATTTAACTAACCAATCCAGGCATTATCCTTCTTTCTGTGCCAATGCCTGCTATTAGAGCAGACTAACTTCATTTATCCAATGTCAACATTTCCACACAGCAAGTTAATCAAAAAATTTAAAGCAAACTTTGTGGAAAATCCCCAAGACAGACCAATTTTGTTTAATACACTCACTCCTTTCTTTTCCATTCTGCAGTTTCCCTGCTTCTTCCTCATCCTCACACCCTTCGTCTGCTGAAAGAAAAGAGGGACCAGTAAGTGACAGTTCTCTGTGATTGATGCCAATTACTGATACAGTGCAAATAGCCCTGCTCCATTCGACTGAACTACTGGCCTACTGATCAAAACACAACAGCAAACCTTATCTTTCTTCAAGTATATTCTGTATTGAGAAATTTTGAAGTTGTTTCCTATATATCATTATAATTGACAAGGAATTAAGTTTTCAAGCCAGTGTTAAGCATCATTCAATCTAAAATTTCCTCTTCTGTATAGCTAAGTTGCAACAGTGATTTTAAAAGAACACATTCATAATTTTGTTAGAGTGTCTGAGAATACCTCCTACAATGTAATTTCATTCTAAAAGGTTACAGCATGTGACAGGACTTGTTCACCAATCCACTTAATCACGTTTTTACAGTAATAGGGAGCATGCACAGTATGGGATGTTGAGATTGTACTAGAAAGGGCAAGACCAACAAACATTCATTCCAAAGACATTGGTTTATTCCACTTTTAATAAGTTCCTCTGACTGGTCCAATGTAGTTCAGTTTACTTGTAGTGCTGAAACTTATTTGTGTTGTCAAGTTTGTAAAGCTTGAATGAATAAATCCTAGGGTTAGCTTATTTAGATATGGGCTGAATTTTTTGGCTACGTGCAAGTTGTGTCACGTTCAATGGAGGGTTCCTCACCTGACAATTCTCACCATAACTCACCAAACTTACCGCCTTGATCACTGATTCTGCACTTCCAGCAGCCTGTCATCTGATCCTAGTCCATTCTACCACATGTCATGCTGCGAATAACTTGCCGCTCCTCAGATATCTGTAACTGATTGGCTTCCTTGGCGCCAGTGTCAAATTTAAAAACCTGTTGTGCTCTCACATTAGAGCCATCAGTCCAGAGCTACTCAGCACGGAACTTGTCATTTGCTGTACATGGCACACAAGGGCAGACGGGTATGCTGCTGGACAGGGTGGGGCACAGGCAGGACATTCTCTATTCCAGCAGAGGTGGCCGTGACACCAGACCGTGCCAAGCCTCTTGAAAGGGTGCCACCTGGGTCAGGGCAGTCTCAGTATCTGGAGGAATGCCCAGCCCTGTAGGAAAGAGGTTGATGACCTTCTCCATCTGCCAGCTAAATCCCATCATCTTCTCTCTGATATCTCACACTCTCTCTGTCTCTGTATCCAACTCCCACCAAGGCTCATGCTCTACCATTCTCACTACTGACTGCAATACCTTTCCGACTCACTCTCACCCCCCCCCAACCCCCCCACCCCCCCCACCGACCGTGCATACCCTCTGTGCTGCCCATCCACTCACTCCATGTGCACCAACATTAACAGCTATATCACCCACTTTTATCTCCCTTAATATCTGCCTGTCTCTCATTCCTGGAGGAAAGCAGCCCTCAGTAGGGCAGGAGACACCAAGAGGCTTGGTATGTTGCCTGACACTCGGCTCCTCACCCTTTACACGGACAGTGTCCTGACTCTGAATGACATGAGTAGCTGCCAGACTGTGTCCAAGCCAATGGACTGATATCAGATGATATCCTCAACTTATCATGTTGCGATGTCAAAGACTCCCTCTCACTCCCTTAACTTGTCTGATGTCTGCTGACAACCATGACCACCTTTCTGCCTTTCAAGCTGAGCTAAACACAAGACAAGACACAAGTCATGACAGCCATCCACCTCTGGCTGAGCAGGCAATGTGCAGAAAGGAAAGGGATGCTGTGAGTGACTGGTATGTCAGTGAGCAGGGAGCCCAGAGATCCAGCCTGGTGCAGTCCCTAAGCTAGGAGTGTGTCCCTGAGCAGACAGTGTCCTTGTTGCAGCGTTATAGTGAGAGTTACCAGGTCAGCACTAAGGTGCAGAAACATCCTGTAAATGGATTGGAGATATGCCATAAAGGCTCTGAGAGGTTGGCACACATCAGGTGCCAATGTCCTTGGATGTGGGGTGCATGTGGCTGGTGCCCATGGAGTGTGCCCTGAGATGTTGGTGTCTGGTAATAACATGGAGGTCTTTTAGAGGAGGCAGTGAGCTGAAGTCACCAGGTAGCTGCTCTGGACCTCCATGTTGAGAATTCTCAGTGTCCAGCTTGCTCAGTACCTTTACTCAGGTAGGAAGTTGGCTACTAAGGCTGTTGTGGCAATAATAAGATGTTTCACAAGTGATAATTCACCTGTAATTGGCGAATTGCAGGTGCCTATTCAGAAACTTCGCTGGCAAATGCATAAAAGGTGCAGCCTGTTGCTCTCGACTGTAAGAGAGGCTTCACTGGAATTCACACACAATTCTGCCACCAATCCTGGCAAAGCCCATGTAATTCAGACCCCTATAACATCTGGTCCTATGCTTTTTAAGAGGAAGAGCAGGCTGAGGATAGCGGGGGAGAAATCAAATGATTAAAATTCAGATATTTTGCAAAAAAAACCCAACACTAATGTCAGGAACAATGAAATGGCTACAAAAAACAGAGGTGGTTGTATTAACTATTTAATAAAAAGGGGAATTGTAGCTACTGATTACGTTATTGGATTCATAAATCCAGCAGCTTGAACTATAGCCCAGAAACATTATTTCAAATCCCACTGAGGCAGCTGAGGAATTTCCATTCAGTTAATTAGACAGAATGAAATCCGGTAACAAAAATGAAGAAGCAGAAATGATGGCCAACAAATTACTGGATTGTTGTAAAAACTTACACGTTCGTTAATATCTCCTCGGGAAAAAACGTGCCCCCACATCCACAGAAATGTGGTTGACTCCGAAATGCCCCCCCAAAAGACCCAGCAAGCCACTCAAAGGGATCAAAGTTTAAAGGAATGAAAGAAAATTGACCACCAGACACTAACCTAGCAAACGTGACAAAGATAGCCAACCCAACAGCTCTCATGATCAAAACTGGGAGAACCATAGTCAAGCAGGGCACCGGAGGACCCACAGATATTGTCTGACAGGTCCCAGCAGAAGTCAAACCCAACAAAGGTAACAATGGAGTCGGCCTCATTAGGGACATTTAAGCGGCTATTAGATAGGCTTCCGGATGATAGTATAAGGTAGCGGTGGAGGATAGATAGACTTTAGGTTTAGGGTAAAAGTTCGGCACAACATCGTGGGCCGAAGGGACTGTACTGTGCTGTACTTTTCTATGTTCTTAACAGTGTTACAGAGTCAGGAAGGAGCAGCTACACAGGAGTCCTTAACATTGACTCTGACCAAATGGCATCATGTCAAAAAATGGCAAGAAAACCCTCTGCTCATTATCACCTACCAGTCACCCTCAGCTGAAGAATATTTGCTCCTCCATGTTGAACACCACTTGCAGGAAGCACTGAAGGTAGCAAGGGCACAGAATGCCCTGTAACAGGAGTGGGTCTGCAGCACCAATCCTGACCGAGTCCTAAAGGTTACACCTGTTTGACTGGGGATGATGCAAAGGGTGAGGGATCCAACACAAGAGAAACATCTCTGTCTTAGCCTCATCTTCACCAATTTGTGATAGATGAGAGTTCTGACAGGAGTAACCACTACACAATCAATATGGAGACAAACTCTTTAGTCACACTGAGGATACCCAGCACTGGGTTGTGAAACAAGATAGATTCAGGCAAATCTAGTAGCTCAATACTGGGTATCCATCAAGTCCTGTGGCCATCATCAGCAACATTGTACTCCACCATATTTGTAATCTCAATGGTCTATCATATCTCCAATCTACTATTACTGTCAAGCTAAAAGACCATCTCTGATTCAATAAGGAGTATAGGAGAGCAACACCAGATTTTGTTAAAAATGGAGTTCTAGAACCAGGGGTCACAGGTTAAGATACAGGGTGGGTTATTTAGAATCTTTACAGCGTGGAAAGAGTCTATTTGGCCTATTGGGTCCTCAATGACCCTCTGAAGAGCATCCCACCCAAATCCAACACCTTGCCCTATCCCCATAATCCTGCACATCCCTGAACACTATGGGCAATTTCCCATGGCCAATCCACCCTAACCCGCACACCTTTGGACTGTGGGCAGGAACTGGAGCACCCAGAGGAAACCCACGCAGATACGGGGAGAATGTGCAAACTCCACACCGATGGTCGCCTGAGACTGGAATCAAACCCGGGTCCCTGGTGCTATGAGGCAGCAGTGTTAACCACTGATATCCTGTGCTGCCCAAACCAGACTGAAGTGGGGAGAAATGTCTTCACCCAGAGACTGATCCTGTGGAATTTGCTACCACAGAAAGTGGGTGCGGCCAAAACATTATATGATTTCAAGAAGGACTTTGATATAGTTCTTAGGGCTAAAGACATCAAAGAGTATGGGGAGAAAGTGGGAACAGGGGACTGAGTTGGATGATCAGCCATGATCCTAGTGCAATGGAGCAGGCTTAAAAGGCTGAATGGCCTATTCCTGCTCTTATTTTCTAGTTTTCCAAATGCCAATTTGGTGAAGTGACACCACAGGGCTGGATTTTGGCCAAACCATGGAAACAAGATGTGAAAGATGTTGCTCAGTGATTCCACAACAAATAGATCAGATCAAAATTCTGTCATTCAGCCACATCAATGAATAGTGGAGGAGGCTGTATGAACCATCTTCAGCAATAGCAGTTTCCTGGAGGCGAATGCAAAGACAGGGCGAAAATGTTCACAACTAATTTCAGAAAGAAATGCTGAACTGATGATCCATTTCAAGCTTTTGATGTCAACAGGAGTCACTTTTATCTTACGGTTTGAACTCAGCATCTTTTTCCATCTTTGGGAACATGGCTGTAGTGAGGTCTGGAGCTATCACAGAAGCCAGGCTTCAGTCAATTGCATTCACTCTAATCATGTACTGAGTTCATTGGCTATGGTTCCCAAAAACATACCTGTGAGGTGGTGATCACATGCTCCAGAACTAGCCATGCACTTTACAAAAATCATTTTTCTACACTAAGAAAACTGGTGCCTACCCAGGAATGTGAAAAGCTGCCTCAGTATGTCTGACTACCAAAAACAAAA